ACTTAGTGCGTTTACTCGCCCTATTGAACTGCATCATAGCTATAAGCTATCATTAGGTATCTCTGCTATGCGCTACACCGGCCGTAACTACATAAATACAATTTGCTACGATATCGCTACGTCTCTCTACGAACCATTTTTGTCATTTTACAATATTAATGTCATTGGATGTTTGTGAACATGAGCTTAAATAAATACGAGTCACCAAAAAGTTTTACAACTAGAAGCTCCTTAGACAGTCAGCAGCGTTGCTTCCTACTTTTAGCAGAGAACAAGTCGTGGCTGACATAAATTTAATGATCAACACTTAAAAGTAGCTATTCGTTTCTCTATACAGCATTGAAACAAAAGTAGCTGTGTATTAATGCTTGTACATTTATTATACCCGTCACAAAAACATAAAAATAAAAAAATCCGCAGTAATGTCAATTTATTGTCAAGACCTTTTCTGTATGTCATGGCGTAATTTGGCGCGCATCCAAGTGACATTTCCCGCCAATACTTATACTTGAAACCTCCATGTTATGTACTTATTATACATTTAAATTAGATACTTAAGTTATTTATTGGATAAATAACACGTTGTAAACGTACACTTGTTTATTGTTAACGTGTTTTGAAATTATATTGTTTTATTATGATTATTTACCTACCTGAAGGAGACGGTTTTGATGTTGTGAAACCTGTGCGATACGGTACCACCTACCTATATCTAAGTACCTAAGTATGTAATTTAGAAGTTAGGTATACATACCTATGTATTAGTTTATGTTACGTATGTTTTATCTATCGGATAAGTAGCGTCTTTAAGTAATTGTGTTTAACACGAGTAAGTAGGCACCTAAAATCAAAAGCCAGCGTAAAAAGCACACGTGAGCATTTGCATTGACGGTACATTTTCTAGAACCTGACATTCTTATGGCTCCAGGCTCGCAAACCCTTACGGGATGGAAAGAATTTAAAGGGTAAATAGATAGGTACACGAAAGGGGTCAATAGATGTGGGCGAATTTTCCTAGTATCTATTCACCCCTTTAGTAGGTACCTTGGTCTATCTACCTCTCGAATTCTTTACACCCCGTTTTACCTTGTCAAGTTTTGATAAGGATTTAGGAGGAGTTCTTACGCGCCCTTTTCCGTCGGATCGAATCACTAAAACAATCTTATGTAAATAAATACCTTATATCTAATAACTATTTCTAAATGCCATCCGTTACATTCACCTTTTAACAAGTTACGATCGAAAGTTCTATTAATAAAGAACAAACATATACATACATAACATATGCAATCTAAAAGCCTCTGATCATTAATAACAAATTCAAATCGCAAGCCATACTAAACTTTAACTATTCTAAAACAAATTGGATCTGTTTAATCAACACTATAAAATTACCAATAAAAATAATTAACAGTCTTGCCAGCGTTTAATTTCTTCGCGGGCTTTTTAAATGTGTTGACTTTTTTATTTTTTATGACGCTTGATCTCGTTCGGATACGAAAACCAAACAATAACACGGACGCACTCATTATAAAACGCCCGTACAACCGTACCTCTAGGCTGAATATAAATAACGCATTCAAAATCCCCTGCTCTCTGTCCGTTAATTACTCCAGCCAGTTCGAAACAGTCAATTATTATTTGAAATATAAACATAGAAACGCCATGGTACCAGTTCTTACTACTTATTCTTAATTACTTTTAACTAAGACGTAACTCACTCGTTGAAAGTAGGTATTTAGTGAACTTATCTTTCAACTAGGGACGTTGATGTATTGCTGGGTGAAACGGAGCATTATTTGTTTTTTTTTTTATATAATCGCCGCCCGCCGGCAATGGGCAAGGCCCATTCAGCGCGAGGGAAGTTTTACTGCAATGTTGGGAATATTTAAATAAAGTGACAGTTATTATTTATGGTGTGTTTGGCTCGTTATAAATTTTGTAGCAATAAATAGAAGGCGTTTCGAACGCTGATATTCATTAAACATAGTACAAGCACCAGTTACAATAAATATTATTTACTTTTCTTAAGATTATCCACATAAACCATCAAATACAAACGTATTACAAAAGAATAAGCGGCGCGGAAAACGTAAATAAATACTAAAACTTTATGTAATTGACACTAATTACTCTGTGGAAAACGTAATAAAGTACAACTAATATTTCAACCTTTTTATTGTACTTATTACAAAAATACAAACTTTTATTTTTATTAGTTAATTTCGGGGAGCTTAAGTTTTTGTGTTGGCAACTCGAGCGTGGCCGTTGGAGCGAACCATGTAATTAGGTGGTTATAAAAACTTTAGGTAATTAATTGTGTTGCTTTGTGTTGTTAGTGTGCATTAAATTGATATTTATTGTTGACATTTCGTGCCGTGAGCGAGGCTCGTATTTAATTGTTGTTAATTCGTACACACGACGTAAAATGGCGGTCGTTCTTCGTCGGTATGTATTTGTAATTAAAAAAAACTACAAAAGATACCGAATTCCTATCACAGCTTGTGGAAACAATAATTCTGTAATTATTTGCCTATCTTTTGTAATGAGATGAGCTTCAACTATTTTATTACTTACAGAAATAAAAATAAATGAGGTTTAGTCATGAATTCATTTTTAGTACAATGTTAATTTATTAATCTTTTATATATGAATTGGATTAGGCATCTGAGTTATTATTTTAATATTTATGATCTTAGTATAAGTATATATAGCAATTCATCTTGGTTCTTTTGTAAAAGAAGGTAATCACTTAAAAATTGGCAGTATTATAGTGAAACAACACTCAAGGCCGTGGGAAAATGTTGCGACAAAAAAGTTGACAGACTCATTAGTAGAACATCGATAAAATCCAACAGATACTGTCCCTATACTACAAATAATAGCGCGGGAAAATAGCCCGCCATCTTTAAAACGGTGCCTCACTGACCTAAAACATAAAATTATGGTTAGGAAAGCATTTAATTACACGTAAATGCGATCGAAACCAAGTTTAGACGTTGTTATTAAGCTAAATATGTTTGAATTGCTAATTAATCGTCTCCGAACGACCTCTACGCACGCCATTTGCACACCCACTAAATTAATCGTGGAAGGTGGACAGAATATGGCCGTGATTAACCATTGTTTTCATTTTAAAATGGTGGGGATTAATAATGTTGAGCTAATTGTTATTACAGGGTACTTATTGTAATAATATTTTGAGTACAAGGATGATTACTTTTGTACAAGTAGGTATCAACTATTGTTTCTAAACTTATTTAGTTTTCGAGTGTCCTAATAGAAACGGTAATTGCTAGTACTTACTGTACAATGGTCATACATTGTCAATAAGATTGTAATGATATTATTCTCTAAACTAACAACTATTGGTTCTTGACCACTGCCCAATATGGAAAAGATGGCATTGTCTAGCTTTATCAACGGTAGACATCATGGAGTCGCGATTTGATTACGTCATGTTGTAACATTTATGTATAATATAAGTAAGTGTTATGAAAAATCCCTTGGGATTTGTCTTAAGCGTTAAACTATAAGTGCTCCAGAAGCTGCTCTGTGAGTGTGGTCAGGTGTGTTTTTAATGAGGTAGGTCGTCTGTCGAGCCGACTGATAACCTGACGATAAGTACCTAATCGACGCCGCCCATTGATGGACACCCACAACACCAAAGGAGTTACGGGTGTGTTGCTGGCCATTTGAGAATTGGGGTTTGTAAGTATTTTTTTTTTATTGTACTTAACAGGTGCTTAGGGGGCCCTACGGGGTGGTTATTAAGAAGTTTTACTTTGCCGGCCCATAACTAACTGCCAAGACCCCTTACTCCACTATCGTACGTGCGAGAAGATGACCAAAAAGGTAACAATAAAAGGATATAAAATGCAATAATTCGTACCAATTAGAAGTTTATGTTATAGAAAAGCAATGCTTCAGCACGAATGGGTTGGTTCGACCGGATTCGCGCGCCTTACGCTTGGTTATATACTTGCAAACCCTCTTGGTCTGATGTTGCAGACGTCCACTACTAACCCCAATCATTTACTATGAATGTAGGTACTCCATAACACTTAAAAATGTGGGTGTCTATCTAGGGAGTAGTAGACTCAACCCGATTCTAAGCTGCATATCAATACCTATTTGTCATAAAAATAGACCTTATACACCTAACCTAGCAAGAAAGGTATACCTACATTTTGAGGCCATTTTTATCGCCGGTTGGACCGACCAAGGTGCGGAAATCATAATCGTTGCCGAATTCTTTGCCACATCTAAGACCTCTATTCTAACAACAGTGGGTTTTGGAAGAATCTGTAACTACTTTTTACTTTACATAGAAATCAAAATCATAAAGTCTATTTTCAGGTGGTTTAAAATTTTTAAACATTTTCTATTTTTATGAAACTCAAATGTAATCTGACTCATTGTCGCAAAGCAGATAAACTGTACCTACTGTAAATAGTGACAAACTCTGACTAACAAGTAAAATTGGATATGGAACACGTATACAGGAGTCAGTTATCTTATCTATAACAGTAAGTTACTTCCCCTTAACAAAATACCTACCAACTTAAAATGCGACAAATATTTTTTGAGACAGATAATATTAAATCTATCTATTAAAAAAAATCAACGTTGTCATCTTATCCTATTCGAATGAATTTTGTGTCAATAAACATAATAATTATGTCCCAGTTCCGTACCTCTTATTAAAGTTATTCAAAGGGCCTATGCGAGTTGACTTCGGCCGCTCGTACGCCTCCTACAGGTCCAGGTCCCTGGCCTGTGATAGAAAACATAAAAATTGGTTCAAATATAATCGCCATTAATCTTAAGGTCAACCTCCGTAAGGGTAACTGCGTAAGTTTTTATCCGAAAACTAAGGCCTATTGTTTCTGAACGTACACATTACGTCATTGTCGATGTGACGTTTTTGACAGAGACGTGTGTACCAATGTCAATGTCAGAGTGTCACAATTTTTAGTAGCAAACTAGCAAAACAGTGTTGAATTGGAAGAACTATTTATTAATTAAACTGTAATGTCCACGTGAATATAATGTGCTATTATAATATATCTGTAAATATTAGACATTAAGCATAAATGAATCGACGAATTAATTTCATGGGATACAGATTATCCGGTTCAAAATGTCTAGGTATATGCTTATTGTTGACTTTTCTAATGGGATGTTATTTAGCGGCTTTACCTATTCGATACGGTAAGTTTTACGTCCAAACGTTATCTATATTATATTAAGAGTCATTTTGAATGACTAACTAATTTCAAATTGTTAAAATATTTACAGAAAAAGAGGCCCTACCTAACCCCGTCCGACAACGAATAACATCGCTAGAAACGAAAACAAAGCGTCTTGCAGTGCTCGTCCCTTTCCGAGACCGCTTTGAAGAGCTCTTAGAATTCGTGCCTCACATGTACAGCTTCTTAAACCGCCAAAAAATACCATTTCACATATTCATAGTTCAGCAAAAAGACAACAATCGATTTAATAGAGCTTCCTTAATAAATGTTGGGTTTATTTACTCCAAGAAGGACTATGACTACATAGCAATGCATGATGTGGACTTATTGCCAATGAATGATAATTTAAAGTATGACTATCCTGCAACGGGACCAATGCATATCTCATCTCCAAAAACGCATCCTAAATATCACTATGATACATTTATCGGAGGCATTTTGTTAGTGACTAGAGAACAGTATGAGTTAGTCAATGGGATGTCTAACAACTACTGGGGATGGGGATTGGAGGATGATGAGTTTTATGTGAGATTAAAAGATGCAAACTTAACTGTGATGAGGCCAAGCAATATTACTACTGGGATAGACAATACTTTTAGGTGAGACCTCCTTTTATTTTAATATTTTTTAATTGCATTAACATGTAGTTTTTTTTTCTACTTCAAAATCTATAATTATGATTAAAAATGTAATCCATGCCATTGACTCAAAGGTTGGTTGGTGTAATCACTAGTAGCTGCTAGGCCACCCTTGTACCCTTCTTATCACTACATGTCTTTCTCTGTTCCTATATCCCTATGTATGCTTAAATCTTTAAGTCAATTCAAGTCAAAATCATTTAAGGTACTTTTGAGACGTCAAAATAGAATAGTAGTCTATCAATCTGTTCATCAGTTAAGTTAGGTGCTTAAATTTAATCCTTTGTTGTCTCAAATAGCATAATAGCATACAATATAATTATGCATTCTGACATTTAAAACTATACAACGGATTTTGTAGTTTGATAAAGTGAGTGATAAAGTTTGGTAGAGTGAGTTTAGATTTGCATGTATATAGATAGAGTAATTGAAGAGGAAGGTTTAAATGTATAATAACATCTATTGAATAGTAGTGTAATTTAGAATCCGCATTACACCCGTGTGAAGCTTGGCGGGTAATTAATATTTTCTATAAATGTTCTGTAAATTACTTACTTGGTGTATTATAAAGTTATCTACTATCTATCTATCTATATATTCTAATCAAGTTTTTATTCCATCTCTATCAAAGATAAAAAACCATTATTATTTCTTTATCATATCAACATTACTTGTCTATATCAATAGTTAAATAATAATATGGAAAATACATAGTTTTTCCTTAAGATTATCTAAACAAGTTACCAGCAAAAAGTTTATGACCATGAATTAGGTCATAATCTTTTATGTTTACAAATTTAATGGGGTAGAATATTGCTAAGACTGCACAGGTAATATGGTACAATATGCCTGTAGGTGGCAGTTCAGACAGAATAATTTTCTTTTGTGTGCTCCAGATGTATGTGTTAAATTATTTGTTACCGTGTTAGAAAAGAAAAATAATGCTATTCTTAAATATTTATATTTCAGTCTTGTGTTTAGCTGTAAACCCAAGCACAAGACAAAGTTATTTAAAATATTGACATACTCGTGTGAATCAACAACACGCGCACGCTGCTCGTCAATAAGAGTCCCGTTGTGTCTTGAAACTAGTAGAGCCTTTCTCAGTTGTTTCACGTGAATAAGTCGCTATTTTCAAATCTCAGTAAAATTTGTATATTTCACGATAGTCCATGTGTTATACATATTTTAATAAAAATCTATATTTCCAGACATATCCATGACAAAACATACCGAAAACGCGACATGCGGAAATGTTACAACCAGCGCGAGGTAACCCGTCGCCGCGATCGCCAAACGGGCATTCATGACGTGCTATACAAGTTGCACAACACACACACGGTGGCCGTCGACGGGTTAAACGTCACAGTTTTAAATGTGGAACTCATTTGTGATAAAAGCAGAACTCCTTGGTGTCAGTGCCCAGAACCTGTAAAGGCAGCTAAGAAAACTTAAATTTAGAATTGGAAAGAAAAATTGTTGATTTTTTTCTATAATATAGACAAAGAATACTCTACATTCATTTTTTTTAAAAAAAGCCTCTTTGGCTATTTGCTCATTAAAAGAAATGCTGAAGAAAAGAATGCATGTTAAGATATCGTTTTCTGAAAATTAACACTTATCTAAGTTTGCATTTAATATGTATAAAAATATATAATATATACCAATATCCAATGTATCTACATTATTGGTTTTCTCTTTCATTTGGAAAGTTTTCTTACGTAAGCTTTGTGTTGCAATAGCAAAATTCTTGGTTGTGTAAAAAGTATTGAACATTTTTTTTTAATATTTTATCTACATATAATATTTTATTCCGATAATTCTATACCAATAATTATTACAAACTTGTTTATTAAAAAAGTCGTGTAAAGACTCTTGATAACACATCAAGATACCCCAACCTAGCTCTTTAGTAGATTTTTAAGTTCGATAAATGTACAATGAGGTTGAAAATGTAATAAAGAACTTTAGGTTTGGCTCTAATGTAGAATTATCTTAATAAACTGTGTTATAATATTATAAAGGCACCAGTTAGGCCTACCATTAGCGTGAATCTTTCGGGCGAGAAAGAGGGAGCTATACTGTATAGTTCCATCCCTCTTTACACGTCATGGTAGGCGCTCTGTGCCTACTTCGTCAGGCAATAAAATGCACATTGTTATATATTGTGTGTGTCATGTACCTACCTATTATTTATATCTATAACTATATCATTGATATAAGACTGTATTTAGTTGGTATTATAAATTAATTATACTCGAAACCTAGTCTAGTAAATGTAATCCGCGTCGCCATTTTACTGAAAAAATATATTTATTTATCAAACCCCAAGTGAACACCTATTGTTATTCTAATGTGTCTCGCATTACCACGAGTGAAAGCATAAATTACTTACTGTTACTATATAAATGTCAAAAGTGAATTAATGACGACATATTTTGAGTTAAGACCAAATTTAAATGACCCTGTATTATTGTTTCTCAATAATAATTGACAATGCAAGTTCAGCAGACCAACCTACACCATATGCTGTGGATTTAAGACTATGAATGAAAACTTTGAAGTCGAATGTTTAAAAAAGAAAATAGAAAGGAGTAGGTTGACTAGCGTCAGTACATACGTATTGCGAGGATGCTCGAAAACCTTCGAACCTGAACGGAGCCGTTAGAAAATGTCATGAGAAGTACAGGACTTAAAACTCTTGAATACTTCGAAGTCTAGAAGTTGTTGTAAATTGAATGTGTAATGTTTTATGAGTAGGTTGTCAACATTATTATTGTTATTATCATAAAATTGTTTGTCCATTTATCATGATTCTTTATGTAGGTAATGTCAAATATTATCAATTGACCAAAATTTAAAAACTTACATATGTCATCGTTTTGTATTATTAAAATCCTTTATTTTCATACTTGGTGTATTTCCATTTATTTTACCTTCGACTATCGGCCATCCAAATCCAAATCATCTTGATCCATGAGATAGATTCCCATAGGTAATCGTTACGCTTTGCAAGCGGGCTAGGAAATTGTTAGGTTATAGTTAATCAGAGGGCGCTACTTCTTCTTCAGTGTGTGAGCCACGCTGCAGCCACGCTTCGGCTTGAACGTAGTGATAAGGCCAAGGCCTCACAAAATATTGTCGTTAAACATTGTTTTTTTACGGAATAGGAGGCCAAATGGTGAAGGAAATCATCGTGCTCAAAAACCAGCCTTGGGCAAACGTTTTGATTAATACACAAATCTTCTCCATGTGAGAAGAGGCCTTTGCGCAAACAAGAAGATCCATCTGTTGGTAAGTGATCACCGCCACCCATAGGCATCCGGAACACCAAAGGATCCTCAGGCGCGTTACCCTTCTTCATAGGAGTAGGTACGCTCGTTTCTTGAAGATTTGAAGATCGTATCAGTTTACTAAATCCTCCTATCCTCATATTCGAAAAAACTAGCTGGTCATTGCCGGTGCCGATTGCTTACCATCAAGTGATCTGTAACCTCATTTTCTAACAACCCCTTCCCCCCCTAAAACTTCTCTTGTGTCAAGTCTGTCCCTTAGTCGGATAATAATGACACCTGTGGAAATAGGTAGGGATAGTTACAAACTTAATCTATGAAATAAAACAATTAACATTAAATAAATAGAACTTTATTTTCGAGAAGCAATATTCGTAATGTTTCAACATTTTACAAAGCCTACTAGATATCAGATTATTTCGTGTTTATAAATACTCTACAAGGCGGTCCTATATCTTGATTTTAACTGTTTTTCTTTATCATGTAACTATGTAATATTGTGATAATTACCTATAGTTTATATAAGCTAAATAAAAGATGGCATTTAATTACTTAATAAAGAACATATGAACGGTTAAATTGTACTACATAATGATAACACAAAATAACTTTCCCAAAGGAAGTTGTGGGATTGCGAATGCAAACTCAATAATGTGCTCTAAACCCGGCCAAGAGCAGAAAAAGGAACGGGGTGACTCCCTCTCCTATGGTGAGACAATGGATAAGTTTGCCCCAAATAAAAACTCATTCGTTTAATTTGTATCATACATAATAACAACACGATACAGTTACTGGACGCAGTGCAGATGTTCCATTCGAGTACGAAACAAATTTTTATGTGAAATTATTCCGGGTCTGGGTGTGATGTGTATGTGAAACTATAAGCTTGTACACACAAAGAGAAAAATCTAATATGGGACAGTGTTTAACATATTTAGATGAATAAGGTAGCAAAAGCCAACGTTATTAGTAATAATTGATAAGTTAATTCTATATACAAATATAAAGAGGTAACATTTGTAAGTTTGTAGCTAGATAGGGGATATCTTTGGAATCGCTGATCGGATTTTCAAGATCCTTATCTGACTGATAGCTACAGTGATCCCGAGTGCTATATCCTATAAATTATACTTGATTTACGTATTTTATTCGAGCTTTTGAAGGTTGCTGTTTTTAATATACCTACTTAACACATTCAGTGCCCCCGACGCGTATGTGCGTTTCCTTACGCTACTCTGTGTGCCCTCGACGCACCTGTGCGTTCTATACATTAATGTATTGAACGCACATACGCGTCGGGGGCACTGGATGTGTTAATAATAAAAGTTGCCAAATCAATGAGTTTAGACAACACACAACTTTCTTTGGGAACTATCTTTGTAATCATAATAACTATCATGTGCTTTGTTGATTAATTAATAGTACCAACTTTAGCAATTAAATGCCACCTTATAAAGTGTGTATGGCGAAACGAGAAACAGATTGAAGGAGCCAATTTTGGTGCTAAATTACAACAACTTTATTTCCCCATAAAAATCACAACAGCTAACTGATCATTTTGCATGAAGAAGTAATTTTTTATTAACTTTCTCTATACTTTTACGGAATAGGAGGCAAATGAGCAAACGGATCACCTGATGGTAAGCGATCGGCGACGCCCATGGACACCTGCAACACCAGAAGAGTAACAGGGGCGTTGCCGGCCTTTTAAGAAGTAGTAGTATGGAGTTTCTTGCTCGTTCTTCTCCATTCGAAACTACAATTTGGAACGGGCACCTAGCTTCACTGACGAACAGACTGATAGACTACTATTCTATTTTGACGTTTCAATAGTACTTGTTTATGGTTAAGTTGGAGTAAATGATTTTGATATGATTTGTAGCACGCTCGTTTCTTGAAGGTTGGAAAGTCATATCGGTTCGGGAATAACGCCACCGAAAGATCATTCCAAAGTTTTGAAAATTGTATTCTCTATTCGTCTTTTAATTAGAAAAAGTTTTATTTGAGCACCAGAATGGGCTTCTTGAATATGTCCATCGCTTAACCAAATAAACTGTATTAACACTGGTATAAGTGTGATTGAAATGATAAATGTAATTTCTCATTAACTGGTAAGAAATCGGTGTCACATATACCTACACATTTGCAACATTCTAAGCTACAAGTGCACTGCCCTGTTGATTGATGAAACTAAACATCGTCAAATATATATTTTTAACAGTTCTTTATTGTATTTAGATAATGATATTGTTGTGATACAAACAGGCTATTTTATATTTTAATATTGACTAGAGAATTGTGCATGAAGAACTAAAGCATTTTTTATTGATACATTTTTAAATACTTACAAAAACAGAAATAATATATATTAGCAAAATATGTTGTAGTTAAAACAATTACTTTTAAGACTGGTATTTCAATAGTCAGATAAACGTTATTCGACGAATAAAATTGTTGCTGTCACTGTCTTATACAAAGACTCTGACGCGACAGCATCGAAATTATTCCCCAGGTAACTTTTGTCTAATCATTAAAAAATCAGCCCTTATACATAAATAATTATATCCTGATATACATATTTTGAAATAATAAAAATATTTCGATTATATCAAATTTATTAGGTATACATCAGACATGATATTATAAAAAAAAAATACGTGTCGAATAAGGAACCTCCTTTTTTATCGGTTAACAAATTATACATTTAAAAAAGTTTGTTCTGATAAAAAATAGACTTAAAAACAAATTCAGATCCCTAAAATTAAATAAGTACACATTTCATATGCATAACTATAAATAGGTAAAATTATAAATATTATATTTAAAAAACGAATAGGTACATTCTTATTATATAAAAAAACTAATATATAGTTTTACAAGATTATAAATATAATATAACAAAATGAGTACTTGACTTACTGCTTTAGGCATTCTCAAAATCGCATTATTAGTTTATTTTTTACCGCAAATGTAATAGTAGTTTCAAGTCGCAAAACTAGTAGAGCTTTTCTCTTTTGTAAATTCACGGAAGCAGTTATTTTCAAAAAAAAAGAATTATTTTATGGTATTGTAAAGTTTTAATTGTTTATTATTGACTAAATCAAGTATTCACTCACAGACAATATTATTACAACCTAAATAATTTAATAAATTTATGAATCTTGGAACTTTATGAAGTAATAAATGCAAATCTAAAAGTAAACTGCCTACATCTACAAGATTTCTATACAAGAATATTTATA